GTGTAGAACCAGGTTGCAGGTAAATCCTGTGGTCAACATTACGGTAAGGAGGTAGTTGCTTGGGTTCTTCAAAAACAACCCGAAATGGCCTAAGGACCCCTTTCCCGCGGCTGGCAGAGTCTGTTCTAGGAGGTCCACCTCGTCTGCTGAAGTTTCCCCACCCTTCTCCTGCCGTTGACTTGCAGAAGCCAACGTGTAAACCCCGCTCACACCACCCCCTTGAATCATAGCACTTAGCTGTGAGAATGTCACCTGCTTGGTAGTAATAATAGTCTTTCCCGCCAACTTCACCCTTTGCCCTGCCCACTGGAATTCCATTGTGAGTTCATTATGATCGTGAAGACAAGGGCCCAATGTTTGCAGCCATTGCATTCCCAAAACGACATCCAAACCATAAATTGGCAATATATACAAATCCACTGTGAAAATAATTCCCTGCATCTTCAGCTTAACTCCCATACACAGCTTATTACAAACGAGATGTTGTCCATTGGCCATATACACCTTAAACCTCTTGGCCACCTCCCACTGGAGTCCCAAACTCTCCACTAACGCCTCCTGGATAAAGTTATTGTTGCTGCCTGTGTCAATTAAAACCTCCAAGCTCTCAGTCCCATGCTTCGCCATGATTCGAAAAATCCGCGGATTCACCGAATTAGAAAGAGAATTGAGACTCACCTCCAACTCTTCCTCCGATAGGCTGTTTTCGGATCGTAGTGCCATCTCTTCTTCCTGACCATCGAACTCCTCCCCACACATGATGAGGACCCTGTTTTTGCAATGATGGTTGGCGCTGTACTTCTCATCACAACTAAAACAAAGGCCTCTCTCTCTTTTCTCCCGCACTTCCGCTGGTGTAAGCCGTTTGATGGGAAACTTATTCTCACCATTCGGGTTCTCCCCGCCTCGTGGGGCCCAAGTCAATGTCGCCCTCCCTTGCGACCCCGTGGTTACCCCTAATGGCCCTCCTATCGATCCGCCTTTGCTAGCTCCATTCTCCACACTCCTAAACCCCTCCCTCCTATGCCTACCACTCAAATCCTCATGTCGTTCCTCATATAGTTGAGCCTTAGCCATGGCTTCGGCCAAATTAACAGGGGGTACCATTAACAACTCCCTACGAATTTCTGGTTTTAGTCCCCAAATAAAAAAGTTGAGGAATAAGGGATCAGACACACCTGTGATGCGAGTCATTAGACTTTCAAACTCTGCGTGAAATTGGGAAACTCTGCCTGTCTACACCAACTTGGAGATCCTACCTAACGGATCATCGTAGAGCGAAGCTCCGAAGCGTTTGCATAGCTCATGGATGAATATCTCCCAAGTGGGAAGTGCCCCCCCTCGTTCCATCCATTGGAACCACGTAGAAGGCTCCCCGTCGAGATGGAAGGCAACTACCGACAATCGAGTCGCTGGTTCCACATTATGCAGAGAAAAAAATTTGTTGATCTTGTAAATCCAGTTCTCTACATTGCTGCCATTAAACCGGGGAATGTCCACCCGCAATGTTTTTAGCAGGGAAGTCAACTCGGTTGGTGGCTTCACGCTCTCGGCTCGGAAACCTCCGCTCAAGTTGCTCTCCAATCTTGGCTCATGTTCCTCCGTCTGTTTGGCCTTGTTCACCGTTGATTCCTGGTCGAGTTGAGACAATCGCAACTCTGTGTTGGCCACGTATTGCTCCAAGAGGGAAGCAAATTTGGCAAGCTGCCCATCGGAGTGTTGCTTAAAACTGGCCTCCATAGCTCTCATGGCTTCTGCTACGTCTTCGTTCCTCATCGTCTGTCTCTCAATGAAAGCACCAATTGATGCGAATATTGGAAGATTTTATTGCAAAAAACGCACTCTTCGAGTCAGTGCCCAACTCCTTACAATGTGATTCTACTGTTTGCATGAATAAAAACTTTTCAGAACAAGCCAATTTATATCTCTCATCCCTCACCAAGCGAGCATCGAAAATAGCAATAACAGAAAGCAGAATAACAAAAATGAAAATAGCAGTGTCATCCCGCAAAGATCTCAACGGTTTCCATTCAGCTTGAAGTCGTTGAGCCACACTGGCTTCCTCCTAATCCTGACCTCTCGAGCATCACGCTTTTCTTCATCTGGAACCTTCTCAGCTTCGCTCTGTTCTTCATTAATCCCAGCCATTGACAAAGATCTCAACGGTTTCCATTCAGCTTGAAGTCGTTGAGCCACACTGGCTTCCTCCTAATCCTGACCTCTCGAGCATCACGCTTTTCTTCATCTGGAACCTTCTCAGCTTCGCTCTGTTCTTCATTAATCCCAGCCATTGAACGACGCCTGGTTTGTGTCGTTTTGTCTTGGTCGACTACCTCTTGGGCCTCTGCCTTTTGGGCCTCTTGATCAGCCCACCGCTGTATGTGACCTTGGACCCTGTCCTCCTCCAAAGGTAATCCAGCCCAGCTATCATACTCTCCATCAAGTAAAGGGTTCTCAAAATGCGGTACCAACCAGTATCTCGAATCAAAAGAGAGGTGTTCTCTTGGGCCAAGTGCAGCTTAGCAAAATAAGGGTCTGAGATTATACTGTGCCAAGTCTTGCACACACATTCGCAATAAATAATGCTCGTCGTAGATAGTTTTAGAAAAGTATCAACAAAGATTGTCGTTGGGAGATCACTTATGGAGGGACCAGATAATAGGATTTTCTCATCAGTGTTGCCTATTTGGGTCGGCTTTCTTCTTCTTTTCGTGGCCATTCCAGCAATCTATTTATGCATATTTTATACATATTTCAATTCAAAAACTCACCATGGAAATATAAATATAAATATCAATTTTCACAACTGTAAATTTGATTCGAAGAGCCAACAAGCAAATATAATTACAGATACACACAAAGAACGAAAATGGGCAAATGATTTAAATATCAGGATAAACACTAATAAATAGTGAGAGAAAATGTTAGAAGTGCAAATTTCTAACAAAATTCTACTTCATAGACGAAAACCCACCAGGGAAATCAGACGCATAAATAAACATATGCAAATTGACAGTTAAATACTGGGATAATCACTAATAAGGGCTGAAAAAGAGAATATTAGAAACACAACAGTTCTAGGAAAACTTTGATTAAGAAAACTCGCCGTAAAAACTGAAATGGGTATGCAGATTAACAGGAAAAAAAATATATTAAGGGCACAACTAGTCTAAACTCCACCCACTAATAAAAAATAAGTCTCACCTATTAATTTCATAATGTAAGATTCACCTCTGAACACCATTTTACCATATATCATTGTTTGTTTCCTTCGTATATGTAATGTTATACGTAGATTGGACACCTACATGTCAAACCCCTTTCAAAAGGAACTTGACTTGACTCTTGACGTGGGTCCCACAAATGCTTTCAACCCCTCAAGTGAGTTGGTTATTTTGTCATTAACCCCACTCTCGAGTCTAGACTTTTGTCGACCTCAACTCCGTCGTAAGATTTAGAATCATAATTCAGAATTATTTTTATTTTATATGTATTTTTTGTTAGAGATGTAAAGAATCATGAATGAATACATGAAACAAACATCCTCTTAGACGGTCTAACCTATATTCGGCTGCCCGAATAGAAAATTTTGAGCCTAGATGCCCAAAAAGTGGGAGGTCGGCCTCGGCCCAGACTAACCCTAAAACTCAACGGGCTTAAGAACTCCGATTGGCCTGAAATTTTATAGGGTAATTTACACATATAGTAAAAATATGATATTAAAGTTTTAATTTAACAAAAATTTTGAAATATTATAAGAATAACAAAATTTTATATTATTTTTATGTCATTAAAATAATAATTATATCATTATATAGTACAACATATAATATTATTATGATAATTATAATGTCATTTTTTGTTATATTATTATGAAATTTTGCATGTAATTACTTCAATTTTGTATGGACCGAAATTGCAGCGTACTCAGGAGGGTGGGGACTGGGGATCTACAGCAGGAAGGTGGGAGGGGTCCACATCTAGATATATAGGCACTTTCCTTTCTAAATGCCAAATACGAATAAGAACATTATCATTATCTGAACGTTTTATCTTATTGGTACGTATGTGAAGGAAATTTTTTAAATAAAAATTGACTTGTAACCACAAAAATTGAGTCAACTTTACAACTAATAATTGAGCCATTTTTTTATTATTGTTTTAATTTGAGGTGGATAAAATAAATAACACACCAATATTTGATCTCCATTCGCCATACAGGGCAAAATTTTAATCATGCCAACAAGAGTACCCAACAACCATCTTGATGACAATGCGGGAATATCATAAAATTGATTGCAAATTTCCGAAAAGAAAATGTGTGAAGCTTCAATTATCAAAAAAATATCATATAATAATAATCACAGTATTTAATATGTCTAAATGCAAAGGCACGTCGTTAACATATATACGTCTTTAGCACATGCATGTGAATAGCATCACCGTTGCGTATCCGCCGGTGGTTTTCACGTTATTGTATCATTGTTATACATATTCTCCTGCTATATTTATATATATATATATATATATTATGAACTATACTGTATAAACACACACACACACACACACACATATATATATATATTAATTTGTTTATTTCCAACTTGTCATTACTTAGTTTATAATGTTGTGGTGGTGCGTCTGAATTTATAGAATAATTTCCCCCACAGGTCTTCCTTTGTGCCATAAAAATATCAATGCTTTAAATTAATGACCCAGTCAACAAAAGTAGGTCATCAAATGATAAATTTCTTACATTCTTCTTCCTTTGTTCTTTTCCTGCTTATTAGTTTTCCTGTATTGATAATTCTAAGCTAACTGCCGAAATGCAAAGTAGAAAATGATTGCATGAAAAGTATTAGTCCTGTAGAAAATATAACACGCACAAATGAATTTATACAACAAATTAATAATACAATAATTTCTAAATGCATAAATATTCAAACACTATAGCTTGTACCATTAAAGACTGGTGCCAAAACAATCGACACATTCTTAAAAAGTCTCAATATATGGCAGCTTACAGTGCTCTAGTTTTGTTCTCTCTTTCTCTTCTCCAATCCTTCTTCTTAGGTACGTGTATATATATTTATGTGTATATATATATATTTATATATATATATATAAATAGACACACACATTTTTCTTAAAATTGATTCTTGTTAATCAATGCACTTCTAATATGTTACTTCTTTTCATTTTTGCAGGCACTTATGCAACCACGTTGACAATCACAAACAACTGCAACGACATCATATGGCCTGCCGTTTTACCAAACCCCGGCTCGCCGTTGATCTCTCCGTCCGGCTTCTCCCTCAACGCTGGAGACTCCGAAACCCTACCCGTGCCCTCTGGCTGGTCCGGTCGCGTATGGGCCCGAACCCGCTGCGCCACCACCTCTGTTGGAAAATTCTCCTGTGCCACCGGTGACTGCGGCTCATCCGCCGTGGATTGCGGCGGGGGGGGCGGGGAAATCTCCTCCACGAGCTGACGAGCCCCGACACCTACTCCGTCAGCGTGGTCGACGGCTACAACCTCCCCGTGAAGGTGGTTTCCACGGGGGCCGCCGCCGGAGGCTGCGCAACGGTGGGGTGTGCGGTGGATTACGAGTCGGGGAACTGCCCGGCGGAGCTCCGGGTGATCTACGGCAGCGGAAACGAGAGCGTGGGGCTGAAAAGCGCGTGTGAGGCGGTTGAAGAGGCGGAGTATTGTTGTAGTAATAATGGAAATAATTACTCGTCGTCCAAGATTGCTTGTAAGCAAAACTCTTACTCGGAGCTGTTCAAAAACTGGTGTCCACAGGCTCGTACGTTTGCTTATGACAACGCCGGTACGACTTTCACATGTGACGCAGAGAATTATGTCGTCGACTTCTGTGGTCGAAATTCCGGTTTCTATTCTACCCCCACCGGCACCGGGTAATTATAATTGCATATTCACCCCGGATTTCTTGCAATTTGATACTTTCTTCTTCTAAAATTTTTTTCTTTACAATTTAAAACTTTTCAATTAATCTTTAAAATAGGAGTAATTGACTCTTAATTATTAATCGATATTAATTTTTGACAATAATATAACTAATTTTTTAACACCTGTACCCGTAACATTTTTTTTAATATTAGTTTTTTTTTCCTTTCAAATTAGTCCCATAATTATCTCTTATGATTTAAATCTTGTTAACGACTAGAGTTAATTCGGTTTTTTTTCCTAACAAAAATTTTGATTTTTTTAAATTAAAAGATAAATTACGAAGAAATTAAATAGTTTGGGGACGAATTAGGTGTTAAGTCATTAGTTTGGGGACAAATTAGTTCTTCCGAAACTATTGTCCTCCACTAAGTCAACGCAATATGATTAACATCTCCAAATTGTCACATTATCGACGACTAGTATTACGCACTTACCACGGCAAAAAAAAAAAAAAAAAGCATTACTAACGCAACTTTTTACCAACCACAAAACACAAAAAAGAAAAAAGAAGAATTCAGGGAAATTTGATTATAATTACGAAGAAATTAATTTCTTATAATTTCCACAAAACACAAAAAGAATTCAGGGAGTATAAGTGCTAAATCTCCTTATAATTAATTGAGAATCTAAACTTAATTTTTTTTTTTTTTTTTTTTTTTGTGTTTTGTGGTTGGTAAAAAGTTGCGTTAGTAATTTCTTTCAACTGGATGTAAGAGACGCAAGATGATGGATTAAAAAATAACAATTTTGAGAAATGTACGTGGTTTGTTATAGTTTTGTGTAAGTTTATATTATTTATGTTATTTTAAATAATTAAGTATCAAACATTTTCTCTTTATTAATTAAATAACAATTATTTATTATTAATTGGAGTAATATAAATACTATTTTTTAACTGTCGTAAGCCGTATTTCTGATTTTCTTCCCATATTTTTTCTATTGTTTCTAAGATTTTCTATGATCAGACTGTTACTAGACTTATATCTGGGTGCGTGGTTTTATTAAGGTAGGAAATATAATTTAAAAAATTTACTCGATTTCTTTTTTATAACGAACTCACAATAGAAAGGACATCTTAATGCGCCAAAACAGGAGATTTAAAAAGTGAAGGATTATTAGCAATGATCAATATATCATCTTGTTAAACTCTTTCGACCCAATATTCAAGAATTATATTTCTAATTAGGGAGTCTCTCTCAAAATTAACATGTTTTATGCTCATAGTTACATTAATAAATTTGTACATTTTAATGTTACAACCATCTTAGAATAGTACTTATGGTACAGAACTAGTCTTCCGGAGGACCAAGGTTCCGATAACATCTACGGCGAGACGGACACCGACTCCAAGTTCGGAATCATCATCGGCGTCGTGGCTGGAGTCATCGGAATCATCTTGATAATTTGGTTTTGCCGTCGGTGCTTCAAATCCGACTGCGATCCCTCATGCGACTGCACTTCTTGTTCCATCTTCTCATGTTCTTTGTGTTTTGATTCACATAAATGTTAGATATATCACTCTTTAATATTTAGTGATATATAGGATCACTAGGTTTTTGGCCAGTCAAAATTATGTGGCCCTACAAAAATTTGTATGGTTCTTTTTAATAATTGTCCTCTTGTTATAGTTATTTTAGGTACAATGGAGTTTAATTATAGGGATTATCTTCTTGTTGTAAAGGGGAAAAAAAAAATAAGGAACACAAAAGTCTCAATTAAATAAACAAATTAAGGGTGCTTCCAAACCCACCCGTCTTTTTTTTTCCCCCTCTCTCATCTTTTATCGATTTGGTGATTTTTTTTTAATACCAACGAAGTCCTTGAATAAGCATTAAGGATCCGTGTAATTGTTCGGATCATAATTCATAGCTCGCTATAATATTTTTTTTCATAAAAAAATACACATAAATCGAGAATGATTATGAATCTATGAACCAAACGTACTAAAAAAAAGCAGCAGATACTATAAAAACATAGAAGTTTATGAATAGTAAGATTGATTATAGTCTTTGGCTTACAAACGCGTGTATATATAAATAATAATAATAATAATAATAACAAGTGCAAATTACAAAAGAGACCTCACAATTATATGAGGTGAGGTATTAGAATTAGAAGAATCTGTCTATCTTGTTGTGGAGGACAAGATGTGTGAGTACTTCGTATCCTTTTTGAGAAGGATGATAACTGTCCCAGAAAATGTACTTGGAAGCATTACTACAAGTGGTTGTCGTATAACGATTACACAAAATGCTGACTTCTATATTCCCCGTCCCACAGCATCCCTTAGTCGCCACTTCAAATCCTGAAGGCCATAACCAAAATTACGTTGCAAGTAGGCAAAATAATAATAATAATAATAAAAATAAAATAAAATAAAATGTAAGTTATAGTAATTACCATATTGAGGAGGGTTTTGGATAATGGAAATCAAAGGGTTATAGATGTCAAGGTAGACAAGCCTTGCTTGTGGGAGTTCAACATTGAGGGAATCCATTAGAGAAGAGAGCTTGGAGTTGAAGAGTGATGCTGCTTGGTTGGGAGGCTCTGAACAATGTCTGAAAATGTCTCCACTCAGTGTTCTCTCAGCTGGGACACACCCAATTGGAGGCAGACTTACTACTCCTATTCTCCTTGCTCCTTCTCCATAAAGACCCTGTCCCACAATTTTTTTTTTTTTTTTTTTGGTTCCATTGACATAAATGTTAGAGATAAAATATGTCATTTCTAAAAATTCTCTCTCTATATATATATATATACACATATGTATTGTGGGCACTATTTCCCTCTATATATATATATATACATATTGTGGGCACTATTGACATAATTGACAGAGATAAGATAAGAAATGTGAATATTTAAGCATTCTTATATCTCAGTTAAAAGAAAAAAAAAAGTAATATCATTTTTGTCATTGAATTACAAGTCAAATTCCATTTTAATTCTTCACTTAAACACCTCAGAATAAGTACTCTCTCGTCTCAAATTAATCCTTCTATCTATCCGATTATTAAAATCTGAATGAGAAAAAACGCGAGCTTTTAACAGTCAGATTGATGAAAAGATTAATTTGGAACAAATTGATAGATCGAAGACTCGTTGTTGGACATTTAAGAGTTAATTGAAGGCCAAAATAGAGTTTAGCCTGTAGTTGGGGTAGTAAAAATGAAACAGAGGAAAATGCAAATTGCTTGCCCGAAAAGACAAGTAAGAGAAGTCAAATTTCAATATTATGTGTGTATTTGCAATTACTTAGTAAAACATACCTGTAAGAAACTTGAGGCTGAGTTAGCCATGAGATCAGTATAAGCTTGAATGTCATAATGGGGTCTCCTAAATGGACCTAAAAAATAAGTATTTGCAATGTCGTTTGTTCCTGAGCACACTATGAATATGCTCTTGGATATCGTCATCTCTAGTCTCTTCTCCCCAACTGCTGCCTTTAACTTGCTCTTGTATTCTCTGAACATCTCTAGTTGATCCGACAACGATAAAACAGACTAAAAATCGAAGTGAATCGTATGATTTTCGCAACAAATATAATATCGATTTAAACTAAACTACGGAAAAAAAAAAAGAGAGAAATGTACCACAAATTCAGCTGTTAGGGGATCATACCCTCCTCCTCCTGAGGCAAAACTCACTCCGGTAAGAAGGTCTTTTAGCTGCAGATTCGGGTCTAGGTAGGCAGGCACTATATTCTTGACATTAAATATTTCAGCTGTCAAATTCATATAAGAATATTTTCATTTGTCAAGAAATAGAATTCGAATTAAAATCATTGTACGTGATCGAAGGCTTAGGGCCTGTTTAGTTCCCTGATTTGAGTTTTTAATTCGAATTGAGATGTTATTTTATGTGAGAGCCTTTTACTGTAATGAAAAAGTTAAATGTGACTGTTTCTGAGAGCTTTTTACTGTAACAAAATTCGAATTCTAAACTCGAATTAATGAAATGAGCAGAAGCCTTAGTGTAGTTGTAAATCTATGTCACTTCTAGTGTTGCGGTCTATAGTTTGAATCCCCTACCTCTAAATTCAGGGGGGAAAAAAATACTAATAATAGGACCTACAGGATAGCAAATTGCAAAAAAAATTTGTGAACACCCTAATACTCTTACAAAATTTTTATCCGAAAAACTACAAAAGAAAAAGAAAAAAGTGACATAAATCAATAGAAATATATAGCAATAATAGCCGATGCAGCGATGACTTCATATATAGTTAAAAATTCATTCATCTCGATTATTTTGCGCAAAGAAAGTGATCAAATACTAAGGACCTGTTTAGTTCGCTAATTCGAGTTTTTAATTCGACTTGAGATGTGACTTTATGTGAGAGCTTTTTACTGTAGTAAAAAAGTTAGATGTGACTGTTTCTGAGAGCTTTTTACTGTAATAAAATTCGAATTCTAAACTCGAATCCGCGAACTAGTTTAAGATAAGAAACAAATAATTATCTTGCTTCTTCAAAATCCAAAAACAGGATTGTTAAATTACCAGAGTAAGTTGTTGTGGTAGTAATGGCAGTTGAAATTAGTATTAGTATTACTACCACTGTTATTAGCCATTTTAGAATGTGAAAGAATATGTTGAAGCTACCTATAATGTCTGAGGGAACTCTTCCATTGCTGAACCTTCCAGTAGAATTTCCTCCAGGGAAGTCCTTCCCATAAGGTGGGAAGTTGCATTTCACCACGGTTTTGATGTTGTTGTTGTTGTTCCCGGGATCTACGATCGAATCCCCGAAAACGAACACCGCAGGGACCGTTTCATTAAAGGGAAGTGACCCCTTGGCAGCACCATTGTATTGGCAGAGTATGAAAATGACTACATTGCAAAAAACTCTAAGTAATGAAGAAGCAGCAAGAGATTCTAGTGAGAGAAACTTCATTGCTGTTTGTAGCTAGGGATAGTTTCTGGAGCTTCTTCTAGTACATTATAAGGGGGAATGGAATAATAAATCATTTTTTGACTCTCTGTATAAATTGGTTTGGTCTTATTTATTGGGAGGACTTATCAATGTATGTAAAGATTTCCATTGAGATTACATAATTCTAAACTGCAAGATCTTCATCAAATTATAATATGATTATAATGTGATCTGACGGGTAGAAACGAAGATGGTTTTTCTATGGGGTGGTTGTTAGATATATGGTCCATTACTATTCTGCCTAACCAGATGACTTTGCAGCAGAAAAACAGGCCTGGCAAGTATGGCTAGCATGGAGCAAATAAATGCAGTCTCTTTTTCTTTTCTGTTATTGGTTAGATATCAATTTCTGTGAGAAATTGAGCTTTGCAAACAACAAATAACATGGGTGCCCATAAAAAGAGTAAATCAAGGTCAATCTCAGTACTTCTTGATAACTTTAGGCCCGTTTAGTTCGCTGATTCGAATTTTTAATTTGAGTTGAAATGTAACTTTTATGCGAAAGTTTTTTATTGTAGTAAAAAAATTAGATGTGATTGTTTTTAAAAATTTTTTACTGTAGTAAAACTCGAATTCTAAACTTAAATCGGTAAAATGAACGTGACCTTTATCACTTCATTCATTGATGCTGTACATTGGAACTAGAAGAGAGTATTAATAAATTCTTTGGGCCAATTATGTTGTCCCCACGTGTGCTTTTTTTTTTTGTCAATTTCTTTGAGACTTTTTTTCCACAATATATTTATTTCTATCTTTGTACCTGAATACACGTAACTGTTATTGTTTGGATTTGTTTTCTTGTCTTAAAATGGATGGAAAATATATCTTCCAAGATTGATACTAATTGGACATGCATTATTGAGTTTTTTTTTTTTTTTTTTATGGGTTATTGAGTTAGTTTTTCAATAGAGATAGATTTTTTTAAAAAAAATTTCCCGTATAAAACACTTGTATTAAAAAAAAGAAATTGATTTGAACATTTTAGTTTATCGGAGAAAAAGTGGATAGATAACCTTTGTATAAAAGTAAGAGAAATTCTTCGGATTTAGGAAAGAAACAACTTACTATTTTCTCAGTAAGTTTTGTTATAGCATCGATTATATTAAATGATGCCTTACAAACACATATATAGCGCACAGTAAAGGATATTGTTATATGACTAAGCTTAGGTGATAATTAAGTAGAAAGGAAAAAAAAAAAAAAAGTACAGGCTACAAGTTAAAAGGAGATCTCACAATAACATGAACTAATGGAGGATTAATTACTAAATTTCCTCTCAACTATAACCCTTAAAACAAATCGCCTATCGATCTTCAAAACGTAACATAAGTAGTTTTTTTTTTTTTTTGTTAATATTTCATAAATCGGGAGAAATTTTACATTATGAAGATCGGTAGCTCATTGTTAAAAGGACAATAGTTGATAGGGAATTTTGTAGTTCATCCTAACATGACGAATTGGTCGCCACTTCAAATCCTGAAAAAACATCATCAAAATTATGTGGCACTAGCCTCATGGATGTTGCACTTACGAGTCACTATCGAGTATTTTTTTGTTAGTTAAAAAAAGAATTAATAGTGTCTTCACGTCCTCACTCAGTACTTTAAGAATAATTTATTGATATTAAAAGTAGGACGATAAAGGAACCTATCTCGTACTTTCATTTACCAACAATTAGAGATCACTCAAGTCAGCACAAATGAGAGGCATAATTGCAGCCTAAATAGGACGAGGGGAATCGATCTTTGATAGGAAAGAGAGTCCTCAGTTATCCTCTTACCGCCACGATACCACTATTGCTAATCACTATCAAGTATTTTGGTGATCATGCCAAAAAAAGAAAGCATTTTGTAAGTTTTGGCAGTGACAGAAACAAAACGTGGAAATACCAGTAAACTATTACTGCAACCAAAAGTTTTATTGAATTCTTTTATGTTCTTATTTTGACAAAATTTTGATGATATAAAATGTTGGTTTTTTCTGAGAGGGTATACTATTATGCCGGTTAAAACTCACATCCAAGCTTCCCGCAAATGAGGAAATGTCAGCCTCAATCGGTTGGCTTTTTGAGATGTGCAGTGCTACATGCTTAGTTCCATGTCGGCAAAAAATCTCTTACAAAACAGACGAAGTATCTACAAGTTCTGAAAAAACTCTTTCTGAAAAAAGCTAAACCATTTAAGTTTCTTTTCATTTAACTATTGTTTGTTTCTATTCCCTAACGTAGGAAAGACGACGGATGCTATGAGTCTAGGACGAGTCATAAATTAAATTCACGTTTAATTCGTGGGTCTGATTTTTTAATTTAAATTTAAATATAATTTTATATAAATTTTTTTTATTATAATAAAAATATTATATATAATGTTTTTGAGAATTTTTTACTGTTAAATTTATTAAAAAAAAAATACATTACCATTAGTAATTGTTAGAATAACATGCACATTCTATTTTTAGCCAAAAAAAAAACACACACACACACACATTCTACCAGATGATGTGTCTCATCCAGTGTCCTCCACGTGTACATTCTGACACGTGTCGCTCTTCCACAGCTACACCCACCCACAAACATTTTGGCGGCGGAGGACACTACTGACCCATTACATATATGTTCATCACTCTCCCCCATTTAGACATAACCACCTTTCTGCCCATATTCCTCTTTAAAAAAATATTTTCTTTTTTCTTTTTTCCAATTTTTTTCCAAAATGGGTTTGCTGGATCGAATCTCGGATCTCTGTGATTGCTCTCGTGGTGACTCCAAAATGCTGAAAAAACGCAAGCAATTACAGGTAGGTAATTAACGTTTAAAACCCATATTTTCTTGTCTTTTCTTTTTTTTTTTCCAGCTGTTTTAAGATTTTTATTTTTGGCGGGGGCGTGGTTGCAACAAAACTAGAGCGTGGAGATAAAAGTGAAAATGGACTGTGAAGGGTGCCAGAGGACGGTGAGGAAATCGGTTGAAGGGATGAAGGGAGTGACGCAGGTGGAGGTGGAGCCCAAGCAGAACAAAGTGACGGTGATTGGATACGTGGACCCCGCCAATGTGCTGACACGTGTCAGGCATAGAACGGGCAAGAGGGCAGACTTCTGGCCCTATATTCCCTACGACGTCGTTGCGCATCCGTACGCGCCCGGGACGTACGACAAGAAGGCTCCCGCTGGGTACGTGCGGGACGCGGCCGAGAACCCGGAGGCCTCCTCCCTCGCACGTGCCAGCTCCACCGAGGTCAAGTACACCACCGCCTTCAGCGACGACAATCCAAATGCTTGTGTTGTTATGTGAAATATATACTATAGTGCTGTTTGATTTATGGTTCGTTTGGTACGAGAATTTAAATTAGAATAATTTTAATTATGAACTAAAATTATGATTCATGATTTAAATCATGATTCTGAAATTATTATTCAAAATTAAGAGTTTGAATAATCTTAAATTAAGAGGGGTGATTTTAGAATTATGATTTGGACTAATTAACATCACATCAGATTTTAAATCATGATTTAAAATCATTCAAACTAAATACTGATTCTGAATCATAATTCTGAATCATAATTATAGATTCATCTACCAAACACACCCTTATTAATTTGAATCATATTATTTTTTTCTTAAACATTTAAAACTTTGTTTAATTAAATGGTCGTACATATACATATAATTTATATATGTGAGTTTTTTTTTTCCTTTTTTTTTTGTTTTTAGAAGAAATGTTTAGGTAGCAGTTGTGTATTAGAGTGTGGTGTTGAGTAGTTATGGTGCCTTTTAGTTTGCTTGGATTCTGTAGTAGATTAAAAGAAAGTAGCAGAATTTCATAGTTTTTATAGAATTAATTTTTGTAATCGGGGAGAAGAACTATTTCATGTTATTATGGATTGCTTGATATTTTTACTCTTCGCATACGGTTTATAAATGGTAGGATGTGGATAATTACCCGTTCACTTCGCTGATTTGAGTTTATAATTCTAGTTTTTCTACAGTAAAAGGCTCTCACAAACAATCACATCTAACTTTTTTGCTATAGTAAAAATCTCTCACATAAAATCACATATCAACTCGAATTATAAACTCGAATCAGCGAAGTGAATGAGGCCACATGATAAAGTTTTATTTTGGTACCTCTAAGTTTGATATCTTCTATTTTTAAAAATTTCATGTTTTTAAAAGGGATGCTTTTTGTATGGGTTAAAAAACACAGGGACTAATATTTTTATTTCAAAAAACTTATGTGTAAAAATTATATTTAGACAATGAAGGTATACTTTTTAAATTTTCTCTATTATTATTATTATTATTGTGAATGTATCATTTTTCCATTTCCTTCTTTGATGTGAAGTGGGGTTAATGAATTGCTCGTGTGAGAATTGGTTTGTAGCTAAAACTAATGGAGATGTATTACATAACATAGATTTCCATGATGAAAGAGGATCGTTCTCTAGCCTAAAAAAGGAGAAATGTGCTCTAACGAAAGTGTGAAGATTTGGTAAATGATTCTTTGATTGATATTGTTGGTTACGCCCACATGCTGGCCCTTCTGTTGGTTTTATGCCATCAATGTTGTTAAGATTATGACATTACCTCTTTTAATGAGAGTTAGTGATTCCTAATGATAATAATTGATGCACTTGTATTACATAGTGATGTACATTTTTGTTTTAATCCTATAATGTGACCCCCTTTTGTTTCTTCAATCTCTTTGTTGGCAACTCACTGCATTAAATAAAATAAAAACATTATTAGTTAACTGAAATACAAAGGATCTTTTTGTAACAATAGAAAATTAAATACAAATGTCCAAGTAAGTAACATTAAAAATCGAAGAAGGAAATAAGAAGAGAAAGAGAACACAAAAAAATTTAGAAAGTTTTTTGTGAGAGAAAATACTGTAGCGAATTATGAACCATAATTCAAATCATAGTTTGAATCCTTTAACCAAACATCCCTATGTGTTTCTACACTACTTTATATTAAAGAAAAATTTAGAAAGTTAACGATTTCAAAGGATTCTTAGAAATATAATTAAAAAAAAATACAAGACTATACAAGAAACTATATACAAATATGTTAATCGAATTTTTTGTTGACTAAACTAGAGGAGGAATACCTTGCGAAAAAGGGTAATTAATTGGTAGCAATGTGTCTTCGACGAAAGATTGCAATGACAATTATTTAGACCATTTTGATAATTTATTTATAATTTATGTTTGTTTTCATAAAAAGGTTATTTATTTATTTATTTGTTGGCAATTGATTACTTAAGGAATGAGGATAATTCTAAAATTATGAGTTCTTTTAACATCCTTACTAATACAAATGATATAATATACACGTAAAATTATATAGGTCTCGTTTATTTCACAGATTTGAGTTTTCAATTTTAGATTTATACAGTTAAAAATTCTCAAAAAATATTACGTCTTAACTTTTTTTTTATTACAGTTAAATTTTTTTAAAAAATATCACATCTCAACTCAAATTTATGAAGCGAATGAAGCCATAAAAAATAAGAGGTTCGGACGTTAAAAACGAGTACAATATCTATTTGTGCGTATTAGGAAAGAGTCCTCTTCATAAATAGTTATTTCTTAATTTCATCATATAAATTAAACGACATGGCGCTTCGGAATAGCATACTGGCTATGGTATCCCAATAACCAAACAGACTCCATTCGGAAATACACAAAAAGGGGAATTCGAAAACCACGCGTTTTTATTATCCCACTCTTATTTCCAAACACACCCAATCAGTCGGTCTATAAATAGCCCCTCTAGGTATTCGTAGCATACTGGCTATGGTATCCCAATAACCAAACAGACTCCATTCGGAAATACACAAAAAGGGGAATTCGAAAACCACGCGTTTTTATTATCCCACTCTTATTTCCAAACACACCCAATCAGTCGGTCTATAAATAGCCCCTCTAGGTATTCGTCGAATGAAGTTATTTCGGATCTGAGAGGGAGAAGAGAAAAGTCTCTCGATTCTCTGGATCCCCCCGCCTCCGTCTCTCCCAAACCCTAAATCCCAAAAATCTCAAATTTTCTCACCTTCCAAACAGGATTTTAGCGGGAGATTTCACTCGATTTAACTGTTCAGGGCTCAGTGCCAAAGATCAGAACCCTAATTTATCCCTATCCGGAGCTTTGCAAGCCAAGAATCGCGTAATTTTCCGCGGAGATCCGTGGAATCGATTTGGGTTCTTGGTTGCTGATTTAGTGGTAGATCCATGTCTCGGTGCTTTCCGTACCCTCCTCCGGGGTACGAGAAGAACGGAATCCGCGACGAAGCTCTGGTCGAGTCGATTAAGGTTCGTTGAGCATCCATGATTCTGTGCTCGACTGCTTTGTTCGGTTCGATATCGTAGACATTGATGCGTTTTTTGAGATGTCTCATGTGATTACTTCGTTATAGTTTTGGCCTGTGAAAGGGGAATAATTTATTGGGTTGTTAGATCGATTATAGAACTCAAAGAAAGAACCTTTTAAACGTAACTAATACCTATTTTTCCCCTATGGGTTTTTATTAGCGACAAAAGATTGGGACAGTGTAAGGTTTGTATGTGCATGACCTCTTTGGATGATGTTTTGGGTTTTGGATATATGATTTGTTCCTCTGTGTTTCATATGCGCCTTGGTGGTGAAAATGGTAGACACGCGAGATTAAAAATTGTCTCGTGCTGAATAGCGTGGAGGTTCAAGTCCTCTTCAAGGCATCTTATGAGTTTTTTCGTTGGAGTATAGACCGAAGTTGGTTTCTCTTGTAGGAAATTAAAATCTAGGTGGAAAAGATGTTTTGTTGTTAGTCAAATTTTAAGTTTGAGATGAAAAGAACCGAAAAATTAATCTTTCTGTATAGAAGAGGAGCTGAGACAGTAATGTTAGCGAAGTATCTGTAGATCTCTAAGTTAGTGCACTCGTGTCTTCTATGGTGTTGGATTTTGGTGGTTGAGCTTATTGAAATAGTAAAGTCTGTCATGGATGGTGACTATTCATTACTTGATACATAAAAAGAGAAGCACTAGTTCCAGAGAATGTTGTCTGTGTGAAATGGCCAAATCTTATGTTAAATTGACTGTAATTGTTGTGTGCAGTCTTCTGTATGGCTGACAATAGTGTGATTCTTTTCCAAATATCATTACTGGTGGGTTGTAATGGTACTCATGTTGTAATATAAAACTAACTAGTCAACAAGAGCCAAAAAATTCTCTTTTTATTTCTGACCCCTAGAAAACCAATTGGAATTTGGAAATGCATTAAATATCTGCTGTCGACCTGTCATCATTATCTTTCTCATATGTTAATGTCTGAGAACCAAATATTTGATGGCCAAATACGTTCTTGCTTGAAAATTTTTCTTCCATGTTGGCCTTCTATAGATGTTCTGTGTAGCCTGTGTTGTATGCTACTTGTCTTTGTGAGCTCGTGCTGTGTCTGTCCCGTCTTTCCATTGTAGTATGTATTGATTGACAATCACTTTGGTAATCAGAAACTGCAAAGAGAAGGAGAGAAAGCCAAGAAAGAGAGAAATAAGGAGAAAAAGTGGGAAAAGAAAGAAAAAGATAAGGCCAGAGAAAATGGGGAGGCTGGAAAGGAGAAGCAGAGTCACAAGAAAAGGCACAGGGAGGAGGACCAAGAAAGTAAGAAAGGAAGGGATCATGACAAGAAAAGGAAGCTTGAAACAGAAAATCTTGAGAGGAGCAACCTTACAGAGGAACATGGGCAGCCGGTTGGTTCCCAGAATTCTTCTGATAGCACTGTTAACAGCAATAAAAGGCGCAATCCGTGCTCACCCGCCGAAAGCTGTCATAACTCTGGTGAGTGCCTTTGTGTTCCTTCCTCACGTGGGGAAGGCTGTTTTCTTGTTGGGATTGTTTGCTTCATTTGAGCAAAACTGATGTTCTTTCAAAATTTTATTATTGATGTAAAGGAAGCATCATCCGGATCCGGTTGCCTCTTCAAAGGCACAAAGATCCCGAGATATTACCCAGCAAGGAACAGTCTTGCTCCGCCTCAGGAAGGACTCATAATGCCTTCGTTCAAGGGCGGCCATCTGAACCTGCTTCTAGGCAAGGCAAAGAACAAGGAGAACATCATCCCTGTTCTACTTCAACGAGAAATTTGAGCCAAGTAGCCAAAAATTCCAGGCTCAGCAAAGAACACCGCTCCACAACCAAATCTGTTGACCTTTCTCAGAATTCCAGGCTCATCAAAGAAAATCACTGTTCCACAACCAAATCTGTTGACCTTTCTCAGAATTCGAGGCTCATCAAAGAAAAACACTGCCCCACAACCAAATCTGTTGACCTTTCTCAGAATTCGAGGCTCATCAAAGAAAAACACTGCCCCACAACCAAATCTGTTGACATTTCTCACAAGGCTGAATCGATTCCTATGCTGAGTACATCACCTCACTTTCCTCCTCTTCCGCCGATGGTATCTCAGTACAGAGATCTATTCGAGAACTGGGTTCCACCTCCTATGCAAGATGATTGCATGGAACTTGGTGTCGAGACATGGCTATTCAAGTCAAAACAGGACCATAAAAATGGGGTGGAAAGATGCAAGGATGGCGGTGACATCTTGAGCCATGAACCCTCAACTCTTTGGCCACGGGCACACTATTTGCCCTCGGTGGATATTTTTGCTTTGCCTTATGCAGTTCCATTGTAAGGTTGTGCTTGTGCAATGGAAGAAACAAATACAATTGAGGAGCTTGATTCGAGCACCAATGAGCTCGTGTATGCCCATGTTTTCTGGTGGAGTCTGTTCTGATGTTGGTGGAGCGACTCAAATTTCCGGAGGACTGTGGGGGCTACAAATAGGCTGATGCTTGATTGAGATTGGGATGGGAAAGCATATTCGATTTTGTGGGTTGATAATATATTTGATGTATGACACAGATTCAATTCTTTTATAAATGAAAATCATCAGATTCCAGTAACCCTTGTTGGTCCTTCTAGTTTTTCCTTGACCATTTTAGTTTGTTGAGCTATTATTCTGCCTTTTACGAACGAATAACACACCATTACCAAACGCTCTCACACGGTCCATTCGGCCTTTCAATTTTCATTTGACAATCTGACTGATATCACTAACTAGAAAAGATTATCTTATATTAAAAAAAAAAAACCTTTTTTTTATTTCTTTTGGAAAATAAGTAAAAGAGACTAGTGGTTTGTTGTTGTTGCTGGTTTTGGAAAAATAAAAAGGCATTAGCTTTTCCTGGTTTTATTGGTGTAATCCGCAAGTAAAATTCTCATGACTAGTTACAGGCTGAGTCATACGAAGAACAGATAATACCATTCAACTCAATAAAGATTAAAGAGTAGTCCTGCATTGCATAGACAATTTAATTATCAAAAGTTTATTTTGGATGTTCATGCTTATTATTTTGACCATTAAATGACAACTTTACTAGCTCATTTGACCATTAAATTAAAAGTGGATGAGATGCATCGAGATTTCTATCCTTTATTTTTTATTAATAACCCTTTTAGTTAAATAATTATATTAGTAAAAATGTATTAATAAAAAAATGAGAAGTAAAAATTCAGATAGTAGTTCAAACTAGTAGTTAATTGAAAATATAGATTTGATATGAATTAGAACTATAATGTTGGTATAATCTTTTACTTACAATGGAGTGTATAAAAATTATAGTAAACAATGACAATTAAAAAGAAAAGACAGATATATATATATAT